TTTTCCGATGAAATGCTTTGAAACTCATTATATAAGGATATATTAATAGTGTAGATAATGTGACACTGTCAAATTAGCAAGAACTCACGCGCATTTACGTGCGCTTCGCTCTGATTGGCTGAAACAAAAATCTCAATATCTTTTCCGTTTTTTGACGAAATGGTATGAAATTTAAAATATAAGCATACTTTAAGATGTCCTACAACATGATGTATAACATTTGTCATGAAAGCATGCGCATGCACGTGCGCTGCAATCTGATTGGCTTAAACTTCAAATGGCTGTAACTCCCTTGTTTTTCAACCAACCACGATAAGATTTAGAACATAGACAGACACAATAGACTCCTATAAGAAGTTACGGTCATCATGCACATGCATGCACGCGCATGCACGTGCGCTTTGCTCCGATTAGCTGAAACAAAAATCTCAATATCTTACTTGTTTTTTGACAAAATACTTTGAATTTTAAAACATAATCATACCTTAATACGTCCTAAACTATGATATATAAAAGTTTTCAAGAAACCACGCCCATGCACGTGTGCTGCGATCTGATTGGCTTAAACTTTAAATGCCTATAACTTTTTTGATTCTCAACAAAACAGGATGAAATTTAGAATATGAATAGATATGACGGATTCTTACATTATGCTACCATCAAACTTGAATGCAAGGACTTGCATGCACGTGTGCGCGCGCAATGCGTTAAATGACCGATTTACTTGATATAGTCGTAATTTTTTTTATGAAACGTTTCAAAATTCAAAGAATAGAAACACATTAAAAGTGTAGTCACGATGATATAGCTTTCATGCATTGCACCTTCGCGCGCGTGCAATGATCAAATGACTTGTATACTTGATATGGCCGTTACTTTTATATTTCTTTATGAAATGCTTTGATGACCTTGACCCTTGACCTTTGACCCCTTGACCCAAAGGTCACAATCCAGCTCAAGTTCGTAGATGTATTTACAAACTCACTTTAACAAATGCTTAGAATAAAAAAGTCAACCCCCCCCCTTCTCCTTAAAAAAAAAAAAATCAATAACAACGTAGAAAATTTCTCTGAAACTCGATCAACACCTGGGATCGACATAAAATTTCACTTAAGGTGCAGAAAAGACTTCATAGAAAGTTTCCTGAAAGTTTTACGGTAAGTCTCTAAAGTATATAGAAATTATGAATTTTTACGGCAAAAATTACAAATTCTGTCGTGTTTGAAATATAAGTGCAGACGAACAAAGATATGATATAAACCTTTTAAAGCCTATTTCTCCAGATGTCGTTAATAGCATTCAATTCTACTGATATGAATTAATATTTTAATACCAAGCATTCTTCTTTTATTTCACCATTGAAATTTATCTGAATTTTTTTTAGAATTACACAATCCCCAGAAATAGCGAGTTTCGGTATATTAAAAAGCAATACACGTTTCTTTCCAGTAAAACCTCACGTGTTTGAATTCATGAAAAAAAATTGATAAGGGGGTGTTAAACAATACCTGTCACATTAGCTGACACCAAAAAACCAGGGTACGTACACGACATTTTCTGATTTATTTGCATATGCAAACAGGGCTACCCTCAAATCCACGTGTTTTCCATGTCTTTATAAACATCACAAAAGCACCCCAGGAAGTAGCCTCCTATGCCCTGGAGAAATAGTTCCTGTCAAAAAACTTTATTTATTTATAGAGTAGATAAAATTTCCTAGGCACAGGTACCAGAGTTGTCAAACTGGCCTGGAAGGAAATTAAAAAAACTCTCAAAAGAAAGGAAAATCGGCTTAATGTATGGACCTACAATTGACTAAGTTCATTTTGATTGGTCAATTACCGGTGTGGTACCCCTAGTCGCCTTGAATCCAGTCCTGTCTTTCTGAAGAAAACCAACTCCGAGCCCGATGTAAAAATCTTAGTAGAGAAATGAGAATTTGAATTTTGCTGCCTTATTATGTTCCCCAAACGAAGTTTGGGAACATATTGTTTTTACTCTGTTTCTTATTATGTTCCCCAAACGAAGTTGGGGAACATATTGTTTTTACTCTGTTTCTTATTATTATTATTCTTATTATTATTATTTTTCTTCCTGGGAAAATTTTGTCCGCGAGTGATCTTGTAAACTACACATCCGACTTAGGTGAAACCTTTTTAGGGTAAGTAGGCATGTTATGTAGATTTGCGGAATCAAGGTCATTTTGCGCGCACGTGCTCGCAAGAGCGCGCACGTGCAAAACTTAAAATGACCAATATATAATGGATATAACCGTAACTTTTCTATTTTGTGACGAAATGTTTTGAAACTTATAATGTAAGGATATATTAGTAGTATGCACAAGATGACACGGTCAAAATAGCAAGATCGCACGCTCATGCACGTGCGCTTCGTTCTGATTGGCTGAAACTAAAGTCTCAATATCTTTTTTGTCTTTTGATAAAATCATTTGAAATTTTGAACATAGTCATACATTAGGGAGATCTACAGCCTGTAATATAAGATTTATCATGACAGCATGTGCATGCACATGTGCTTGCAAGAGCTCGCACGTGCAACGCGAGAAATGTCCAATATAATTGATACAGACGTAACTATTTAAATTATTGATGAAATGCTTTGAAACTCATATTATAAGTATATATTAGAAGCATAGACAAAATGACATGGTCAAAAAAGTAAGATCTCACGCGCATGCACGTGTGCTTCGCTCTGATTGGCTGAAATTAAATTCTCAATATCTTTCTTTTTTCTTGTCATAATCCTTTGAAATTTTGAACACAGACTCATATTATGAAGATCTACAGCATGATATATAAGAATTTTCATGAAAGCATGCGCATACCCGCGTGCTGCAATCTGATTGGCTGAAACATTAAATGGCTATATCTCCTTTGTTTTTTGACGAAATGCTTTGAAATTTAAAACATAGTCATGCATTAGGATATCCTACAATATGATAAAGAAAAAAAAATCATGAAATCACACGCATGCACGTGTGCTGCAATCTGATTGGCTTAAACTTGAAATGGCTATAACTCCCTTGTTTTTCAACCAAAGAGGATGGGATTTAGAATATAGATAGATATTAGGGACTGCTACAAGAAGGTATGGTCATCATGCACGTGCACGCACGTGCGTCCATTTGGAACGAGTGAAATGAAAAATACACTTGAAAGAGTGATTTTTCTTACTTTTTGACTGAATGCTTTAATATATTGTATATTAAAATTTGTAGATAGTGTAGACAAGATGATGTGATCATAACGCACATACATTCACATGCGCACGGGTGCAATGCTAAAATTTGAGTATAATTGGTATCCTTCTGAGAAAACGTTGTTAAAGTTAAAAATGCACAGAGTTTGTCTTATTTAATGAAGCGTACAGGGAATATGGCACCAAAAAGGAGTTGGGGAGCGTTTGGGGAACATCTGTAACGGTTCCCGTTACAATTAGCACTAGTTATTATTATTATTATTCTTTTTTTTCTTATTTGTTCTCCGGTACTTTTTTGTCCGGAAGTGTTCTCAGAAACTGTTCACCCAACTGACCTAAAACCTTTTTAGGGTTAATGGGTGTGTAGTGTAGGTGTGCGGAACGAAGGTCATTTTGCGCGCATACGCATGCACGTGTGTGCGCGTGCAACACGTGAAATGACTTATATACTTAATATAGCTATAACTTTAACATTTTTTAATGAAATGATTTGAAACTCATTATATAAAGATATATTAATAGTGTACATAATGTGACATGTCAAATTAGCACGAACTCACGCGCATGCACGTGCGCTTCGCTCTGATTGGCTAAAACAAAAATCTTAGTATCTTCTCTGTTTTTTGACGAAATGCTTTGAAATTTAAAACATAGTCATGAATTAGGATATCCTACAATATGATATAGAAAAAATTTCATGAAATCACGCGCATGCACGTGTGCTGCGATCTGATTGGCTGAAACTTTAAATGACTATATCTCCTTTGTTTTTTGACGAAATGCTTTGAAATCAAAAATATAGTCATACATTAGGATGTCCTGCAATATTATATACAAAAAATTTCAAGAAATTACGCGCATGCACGTGTGCTGCGATCTGATTGGCTGAAACTTTAAATGACTATATCTCCTTTGTTTTTTGGCGAAATGCTTTGAAATTTAAAACATAATCATTCATTAGGATATCCTACAATGCGATATAGAAAAAAAATCATGAAATCACGCGCATGCACGTGTGCTGCAATCTGATTGGCTGAAACTTGAAATGGCTATAACTCCCTTGTTTTTCAACCAAACAGGATGGGATTCAGAACAGAGATAAATATAAGGGATTCCTACAAGAAGGTATGGTCATCATGCACATGCACGCACGTGCGTGCATTTGGAACGAATGAAATTAGAAATACACTTGAATGAGTGATTTTTAATACTTTTGGACTGAATGCCTTCATATATAGTATATTACAGGGAATATGGCACTAAAAGGGAGTTTGGGAGCGTTTGGGGAACATCTGTAACGGTTCCCGTTACAATTAGCCCTAGTTTTTTTTTGCAATAGCTGCGACTGTTCATTCCAGTAATAACAAACAAAGAAAGCATTTTATTGTTTATATTTATATCTATTTAAATAATCATTTAAAGTAGGATTAAAAAGATTAATTATTGCATTAATGATGCGAACGTCTTTGTACGTTTCATTGATGGAACAGCCACTGATCAAGAAATCTGTACAGGGGACATGCCTAGTGTAGTTCATGCACTGATTAAGGCAATGGGTTTTCTTAAGAAATAAAGAGGAAATATTCAGTGGATGTAAATATTTCACTATATTCATAATTTGTTATATCTGTATAAGAAATTCATTATTAAATTCATAGAATTGGGGATCCAAGATAACTTCGCAATATCCATGAATTCACAATATCCATGTTCATACTAAACAAGTTTTACTGTATTTACAAGATCTTAATAAAAATAAGGCTACTTAATGAGCTATGTACCTCCTTGTCATAAGCAATGTTTTCTTTATCACAAATCTCTGTCAATCTCTCACTCAGCACTTGGTCTGCTAGGGGTTTAAACCGGAACTTGGCACAGCGGGAGGCTATTGGTTCTATGATCCGACTAACATAATTACAAATCAGGCAGAATCGGGTAGATTTACTTTCTTTCTCCATTGTTCTTCGCAGTGCTGCCTGTAGAAAAAGATCAAATCAATCAGATGCTCTATTCAAAACACTGCAAAATCTACTTTCCCGTAAAATATCACAAAAAATTAAATGCTTCTCTTCAGAGACTTAAATTTATCAAGAAATTCCTATTTTTTAAACAATTTTTTTCAAATTTTGAATGAAAAAGGTCTTACAAATATAAATTACTTATGCCTTAGTATCTATTTTTGTGCTTATAGCTCTTCCAGCCACTGATTATAATAGTGACTTTGTACAACTTTTTGTAATTTTAGTTCTGACAGCATTGTGTCCCTTTATGTATCTGTTAATCACTCACCTGAGCTGGGGATGTCATGGAGTCTGCCTCATCCAGGATAATAATTTTAAATGGAGGGCAAGGCTTCCCACTGTTAAAAAAAACTACACTTGTATCTACATAACATCCACAATAATGATTTTAAATGGAGGGCAAGGCTTCCCGCTGTCCAAAAAAACATGAGTAGAAGTTGGTGTACAGTATCTATACAACATCCAGGATAAATGAATGATTTTAAATGGAGGGCAAGACTTCATGGGATAGGTCAAAGTCAGAAAATTTTAAGAGTCAAAGTACTCTCCCCAATATTTATCCTACAACTTCCCCTTGCATTGACTTAATAAATATAGCCTAATAAACCCAAATTCTTGATTTTAACACACTTGAATCTACACTACCAGAGGATGCTTCCACTTGAGTTTCATCTATCCTGGTCCAGTTGTTCTTGGATAGAAAATTTTTACAAAGATTTTTCCTATGTATTCCTATGTTAAACTTTGATCCCCCTCTAAGGCCTCACCCTACCCCCAGTGGTTTTGATTTGAACAATCTTGAATCTACACAACCAGAGAATGCTTCCATATAACTCTGACCAATCATGGCTTTGCTGTTCTTAAGAAGATTTTTAAAGATTTTCCTATGTATTTCTATGTTAAACTTTGATACACCATTTTGACCCCACCCTACCCCTGGGGGTCATGATTTGAACAAACTGGAATCTACATTACCAGATGATGCTTCCACTTGAGTTTCATCTTTCCTTGCCCAACTGTCCTTGAGAAGAAGCTTTTTAAAGATTTTTTCTATGTATTCCAATGTTAAACCCTATCCCTGGGGGTCATGATTTGAATAAATTTGAATCTGTACTACCTGAAGATACTTCCACATGAATTTCATTTTTCCTGGCCATGTAGTTCTTGAGAAGAAGATTTTAAAACATGCCATTAATTTTTTACTAATCTATAATTATATCCCCTTGGAAAAGGGTGAGGCCCTGCATTTGAATAAACTTGAATCCCCTTTACCCAAGGATACTTTGTGGCAAGTTTGGTCGAAATTGGACAGATGGTTGTTGAGAAGAAGATGAAAATGTGAAAAGTTTATGATGACAACGATGATGAGGAGAACGGAAAAATTTTGATCAGAAAAGGCACAGGTGAGCTAAAAACATGGTTACTGCCTTGAAATATAAATATTAGTTTATATAGAATTGACATCCCTAGTATTAAGTTATACAAAGTGTTTTAATTTTATCTTGAAACAAAACTTTTATGTCCTAAAATCCTATCTTACTCTGGTTTTGTTCCACTGGCAGTAGTCTGAGCAAATTTCTTGACTTTCTCTCTGACAACATTAATTCCTCGTTCATCGGAAGCATTCAGCTCCAATACTCGTAACTTCATCATCTCTGTTCTGTAAAGCAACGGCAATGACATAGCAAAAATATATACAGTACATACATAACAACTTTTTTTTTTACACAAAACAGGACTTTGCAATTTTAAATAGTATTTATTTCTTCACTGATAGTAACAAAAAGGTAAACTTTGGAATTTAAAACATCACAGATGTCAACTTCTGTCAAGTTTTCTCTTATCTTGTCACAAATATTCAAACACTCATTTACTGGACTTTTTATATAGATAATTTTTTTCAGCACTAGTTTTTCCAAAGTTTGCATCACATAATCCTGTACTTAATGTAGGGATATTTTTAAAGTGTTGTGTGAGTTAGTGTGTTTCAGACTTGCCACATTTGCATATTTCATGAACCCACCTAGTGCTTCATGAAAAATAGGCCCAAAATGAAGTCTGTGTAATATACACACCAGTAACTTAGAAACATGTTTTACATCTAAATTTAATATAGGCCTATTTTGATATGTTTGAAAGCTTATAGCAAGTGTTTGAATTCCTGGCCTTTCTTATTGCCTCAAATTTTTATACTTTGGCTCAACACCTCTTAATTCTCATTGTGATCTCCCTTTAGCGGTATATTCTCTGTATATGTCTACATGTGAGTATGTACACGTAAATGGCATTCAAATCAATTTCATAGTTAATTAATTAGGAAAAAACACAGCAATAAACAATATAGATTACATAAGCCATTCCTTCACAGGGACATTAACATTTCAAGTGTTGTCAACAGTCTTCAATATCAATTACAGTTTCCTTGTTTAACAGTTTGAGGTATATATTGAAGATTAATTTGTGCGTGCATGTATTTGTGTGCAAATGCATGGAATTAGAAAAGACTTCATTAGAAATGATTAACAGTATATTATAAACCAAAATTACGATTCCTAAACTAAGGTGCACAAACTAAACAAGATCATTTTCTAACACTTTGGGGTGTTTCAATTGCACATTATAAACATTCCCCTCACCCCCCTTTTTTTTTTAATGAATCAGTATTGTATATAAATTGTGAAGAATCTTTTTTCTGTTGTCTGTGTAATATTCAAGATTAAGACAATGAACAATATCTCGTTAAATACCTCTTATTACATGAAATTAAAAATTTTTTACAAAATATACATTACAAAATACAAATTTTCACACAAATCCATGCTATAGTCTCCAAAAACAGGTCCAGAAAAAATTATGCTTATATGCAGACAGATGTTCTGAGAGGTGGACATGCTGATTCTAATAACTCTCCCTAGACTTTGTTCGTAGGGGGTATAGGATCTCTAGAATTAACCTGATGTTGCGTACAGGAATCAGATAGCAGTTATCTAAACAGAAAGATGTTCTGAGAGGTGGACATGCTGATTCTACAGGGATTTTTGTTACCCTTTGACTCCAGGGTCCGGGGCCGTTAAGATTGGGAAAAATAGCGATATTTGGTTGAAATTGGGAAAAATGTCTTCATACAAATAAAAAGGAAAAAACAAGCAAAAGTCAACTACTTAATCTTTTTTTTATCTTTAATTGTATGGAACTAGCTTCAATCGGCTTTACTGATATGAAATAATAGTGGCTGTTGAAGTTCAGAAGCTTAAAAATTGCAAAGCCGCAGAGTATGATAAAATTGTAAACGAACATATTTATACGTTGTCATCCTTTTTACCTGTATTTAAGAAGTTCATTAAAAATAAAATTTGACAGTACGTTTGATCCCGATGAGTGATTAATCGGTACTGATTGACCAGTTTATAGGAATAAGACTCAAGAGCGATTCAACCTAGCCTGAAAATTACTGTCTGAGGCAAACTGGAGAGACTGCCATGATGCACATTAACTTATTAAATAATGATCCTGACTTTAATTTTTAAACGTCGATCCCGCTTTAAAAACATTCGTACTATTCCAAATGACTTCTTGGATGGCCGTACATCGCACATATGGAACATAACACCTGTTTTTCATTATTTTATTTTAAAAATTTACAACTTAATACTTTTTTCATATTGGGAATTTTTAGGTATAATTTTGGGAAAAACATGCACTTTTCAGCATTGGGAATGGGGCCGAATTTCAGCCCCAGAGAGACCTTAAAAAATTCCCTGTTCTAACAAATCTCCCTAAACTTTGTTCGTGGCGGGTATAGGATCTCTAGAATTAACCTGATGTTGCGTACAGAAATCAAATAGCAGTTATAAAACAGACAGATGTTCTGAGAGGTGGACATACCGATTCTGATAACTCTCCCTAGACTTTGCATACATGCCAACTTTTGAAAATTCCCATGGGGGATTTTGCGCGTGATGACAATTTTCAAAGCTTTAAATTCGCGACATTTTGTCGTGAAAAAAAAAATGATTATGAAATACTTTTTTTTTTATTATAATATTGATAGCACTTATGAATACAAAACAATACAAATTAAAGTTTTATTTTTCCAAATTTAAATGTCTTTGCTTAATAGTTGTCACTCTGTTCTATTAATTTACATTTTGTTTCTGGTATGTACCCTTAAAATCAAGTGTCACTTTATTCCCTATAAGTTAGTATATAACAGTGCATCATTAATTTTATCTCACACATGAAACAATTTAGAGAAAAGGGCCTAATTAAATCATGAATTTTTTAACACAAGCCCCACCCCCACCCATCCCAAAGAAAAATCAAAATTGTAAAAGACTACGTCATGAACATGATAAACTTTTGCAGTCTTGGCAGTGCCATATGGGTCTCTGGTATTTCCTTGACATATATGTAACAAAGAAATACAATGTACAATATGAGTAGGATCTATGGGAGAAAGAGGGAGGGGATTCAGTGTACTTAACATGAGAATATTATTTAATCTAAATTATTTTCAATATTTTTTTAAATTGACAAACTATACAATATTTCTAATATTAGCAGTTAAAATCAGCAGCTATATATGCTTTGAAATTTTCTACTTTCGTTTTCAAAAAACGATCTTTTTGGATTCCTATTTTATTGTTTGATTATCATTTCATTGACTTTAATTTTTGTTTTTAATACAATGACTAATAATTTAAGCCCTAAATCTATGTGTTTCACTTCACATACCCCTTCAAACTGAAAAGATTAATCCCCTAACTGCTCCAGGCTATAAGCTACCTGTACCTGGACAGCAGCGTGTGCGTTGACGCGAGATGTGATTTCCTGTGCCTAATTAACTCTGCATGCTAAACAAACAATGAAACTTGAATAAACAACTCTGATATTCTTATCCCGATTGACAAAATTCGGCGGTAGGGAAACTGAAAATCTGAATTTTTTCAAATCGGGAAATTGGGGCAATTTTTCTCTCCCGATTGGGAAGGCGGGATGAAAGGTTAAAATCGGGAGAATCCCGCCTAAATCGGGAAAGTTGGCATGTATGACTTTGTTCGTGGGGGGTATAGGATCTCTAGAATTAACCTGATGTTACGTTATATAAACTATTATAATAAGACCTTTTAGTCTGACATTGTCTATAATCCTTACCCAAATAGAGAAAAACAAAAAGCATATAAAATATTATAGTATTAAAGGTCCCTAGTATAACCTACTGTTGTATATAGAAATCCTTACCCAAACAGAGATCGAGCTGCGGCCAGGATGGTGGACGTTTTACCAGTTCCCGGTGGTCCATAGAACAACAGATTCGGAAGCTAAACAAACCATGGAGGAAATTGATAAATTATAAGACAAATATGGCACCTAGAAATTTATTCTTTTAATTTATTGTTTGAAAAAAAAACTGATAAATAATTCAACATTATCTTATCTAGCATCATAAAATGCAATATTTATACATAATATTATCAATTCAAAGAGAGCTATAGCAATACAATTTTACAGCGTTGTTGGAGAACTTACATCTGATCCTTCTAGAGATTTTTTAAGGACAGCTACGACCTCATCCTGATAAGCTACGTCATCAACGGAACGTGGACGACTAAAAATGGAATATACATTATAAATTTTTATCAATATCATGACTGTAAATTTAAACGTGACTGAAAAAACAAGCACTTTTTCGTTCTTTCCAACAAAATTGTGTTAATATACTGAAATTCTCCCTCGATCATTTTTATTTATGTAGTATCATAATGATTGAATTACTATTTTTCAACCCATGGAATGTGCTTCTGTTTTCCCTTCCCAACTTTGTCTGATGTTTCCGGTGTTTTGGCATCTTTTGATGATGTTCCTGCTTCTCGTGGTTTAAAAAATGGGTGCATTTTCTGAAAAAAAATGCATTAATTTTGAAAAGTTGAATAATGCATCAAAATGACAATTTATATACATATTTGTTTGTTTACCAGATAAAAAAAAATTCAAATTTAGCTTTAAATTATTAAGCAATTCAAAATAAGAAAATTCCTTTTTTATCAAAATTTCTGTTCTCAAGTTACTCATTAAATTGATGATTAAAATTTAAATAAATATAAACATAACATGAAAGTTTTTAAGGACCCTCATTACACTGCACACTGTGGCATTAACTGAGACCCTTTAACAGATCAACTAAATTAATAAATGAAAAGAATCAAATACAGTTTATCAATCAATAATACCAGGTTGAGAGCACTCGCCCAAATGGGATAAAAAAGTCCATTTGGGATATAATATCCCAAATGGGATATAAAGAACGAGGGCACTTTTGATTGGCAATTGGCAGGAATCTTGGCGTAATTGAAAAGTGAAAATTTTATCGACATATCA